CCAAAGGTATTTCTTAGACAAGGCCAAAAAAAAATTTTTTTAACTATTTTTGTGTTGTTGTGTTTTTTGTTGTTTAACTTGTTTATTGACTTGGCTTTTATAAATTATTTTAAATTACTTCAACTATATGATGTTAAATATTTAATATATATTTTATGTTCAATGACCAAAAAGTTAAAAAAAAAGAAAAAAAATAGCCTTAAATCTTGCTATGCAGGTCATAAACCCTAATGCACTCATTTAATTTTTTTAAAGAGCTTTTCTCTGCTTCCATTGCCAAGATCAAGAACGTATCTATGTTGAAGTTATTATGTTTTTTAAATACAATGAAGATCAAATTTTCAGAGTTCTGGTGTGGCACTCTAGGATAAGCACTGAACTGCTAACCACAAAGTCGGCAGTTCAAACCCACCAACTGCTCCTTGGGAACCTACAGGGTGATTATGAGTCAGTACTGCCTCAAAGGCACTTAACAACAAGGTCAAATGTAAATGCTCTTGTATTTTCTTTTTTCTTTATTATTATGTGCTTTAGTATTATCGACATCCTAGTAGAGTTAATGGGTTACACTACATGGTCAATTTGAACCACATGGTCAGTTTGAACAACAGGGTCGGCGGTTCAAGCTCACCAGCCTCTCCTTGGAAAATTTTTACAGGGTTGCTATGAGTAAGACCTGACTAGATGGCACATAACAATAACAACAGTGAGCTAACTTATCCAAGAACAGCACAGTCTGTGAAAGTGGGGATTTTCAGTCATACTCTTAAATCTTTAAAGTTGTACAAATATTTGGTGAAGTGTACTTTGCAAAGATGCTTCTAAGTGTCATAATCAGTTTACAGTCAGCTGCTAAACTAAAAGCTGGTAGTTTGAACCCCCACAGCCGTGTCATGTAAGATGAGAACTGGAAACCTGTTTCCATAGATATGACAGCCAAGAAAAAACTTTTGGAACAGTGCTCCTCGGTAACACCTAGGTTCACCGATATTCCCAACCAACTCAATACCTCTACATTTGGGCTTTGTTGTTATTGTGTTATTTGTCAGAAGCTATATAAAACGGTCAGATTTGAGAGAATGGACATATAGGAAAGCATGTAACTTTGCTTCTATTCATAAAAGCCATTTTAAGTCCCATGTATGCAGCCAGACATCCTTCTACAATTTCGTCCATGGATAGCATGTAAGAAGAGACCAATATCATATTAAACACACCTGGATAGATTGTTCTCAACCCTTCCTATATTGATAAAGTACAACACAAGAGTTAACAAAAGAAAGCTATGATCTGTGTTCAAATAGACTTCTGAAGGGCCTGCCTTTTGGTAGACACAAAATAGAAAATTTGTCACAATAAACAAATTCAATCCATGGCTAGAGAATGAGGCCTACATATGCACCAACAAGAGGCTTCTTAAAAGTAAACACCGGAATTAGGCACAACCCCTTACCACTATGAACATCTCTGTCTGCCTTTACCTTCCTGAATTGGAAATTCCTTCCACAAGGTAATCATCAACAAACCAACATCAAAAGTAGATCCTGAGTTGGTTTGGTATGATTTTTTTGTGCATCATTTTCAATATATTTGATCACTTCTATCCCTCTTCTTGGGGCCCTAAGTAATATGATTTTTTTTCAGACAGTGCACATGTGGAATTTTGAAAAGAGAATAGCTGTTGCCGAAATCTTCTTTGATCCTTCAGCTAATTTCTAGAAAAGTACCCCTCATCTTGAAACTTGGATTCTTGTTGTACATGGAGAAATAAAACTTTAGGTATAAATAATTTTGGGGAGTAGGGTGGGGGCAAGGGTGGGATTGGAACTGTAGTGTAGAGGAAGGAGAATATCCCAATTCTGGTTCTCTGATATTTGCTAACTTGGTGAAATTTTACCCATTTTTCTTATGAGTTGTCGTGGACATCAGTACATGATCTTCAAGATTCTCTGCCAGCTTACAAAGCTCAGGGAATCTTCTATAATTGAAGAAGATGCCTCAATGTGCCAAAGATACTATTGGCCTGTTTCACAGCCTTCAATTGGTACCAATGTTTCTTAGTCTCATTTTCTTTATTGCCCATACTGTGACAGCTTGCTCAATTAGAGGGCAGACAACTTTTCATAGTATAAATGGTTAAAGAATATCTCAAATTTTTCTATTTGCATGGAACAATGCAGATGAACAAATTATATATCTGGAACATCTATCTATTCATCTATGTGCCTTCTTAAATTTAGGATCATTGACAGGGTGTGACATATTATTCCATACTGTACTTTGAAAAGTGCATCAATATGTATACTCCTGAAGATTATAAATAAGTGATGCTGAGCACCATCCAGTCAGTTTCTGATTCATAATGTTAGAGTAGAACTGCTTCATAGGGGTTTCTAGACTATAATCTTTACTGGAGAAGATTGCCAAGTCTTTACCTCAAGGATCCACTGGTGGGTTCAAACTGCTGATCTCCTGGGTAGCACATGGGCTATTAACCACTGTGCCACCAGAGTTCACAACTAAGTCTTAGATATACATTTATAGAATTTTGAAAAAGAAAAAAAAAAAAATGTTCATCATCCAATTTTAGACTTCAATTATTGGAATACTACATATATAAGGAGCTCTGGTTGCATACTGGGCTATGTGTTAGACTGGTAACCACAAGGTTAGCAGATGAATCTACCAATCTGCTTTGTGAGAAAAAAGAGGCTTTCTGCTCCCATAGATATTTATAGCCTCAGAAACCTTATATAAGGTCACCGTGAGGCGGAAGTGGCGCTATGGCAAATCGAGTTGCTATTGTTGTTAGTTTTCCAGTTAGCTCCAACTCAGGGTGACCTTATGTATAACAGATGAAACAGAATTAAGGACAGTGACTTCTGATATTATGAATAGTAAAACTATGTAACATTGCCTACTTTGTTCACTGCAAGGACAAAACATATAATACTGCTAATATTTTTTGGTATGGCTTTATTTTCTATTTTAATAGAAACCTTCAAAAACTGAAAGTGTCTAGAACGTGTGTCTATTTATAAAAGTTGTTTCAGTCAAGGTTTGAAGAGTTCATGAAAAATGTATAGTTTGAAAAAACTATGCTTGGATTTAAAAAAAATGTACTAAAATAAATTTCATATTCATTTATTATAAGGAGTCCTTATGTGGTGCTGTGGGATAATGCACTGGACTGCAAGGTCAGTTTGAACTGCCAGATTGGTAGTTCAAACTCACCAGCCACTCTTCAGAAACCCTATACAGGGATATTATGAATAGAATCTGACTCAATGGTACTTAACAATAGCAACTAATTTGTTATAAAGGACCCCTGGTGGCTCAGTGGGTTAAGCATTGGGCTCTTAACCACAATTTTGTTGGTTCAAACCCACCAGTAACTCCATGGGAGAAAAATGAGTCTATCTGCTCCCATAAAGATTCCCAATTTCAGAAGCTCAAAGGAGCAGCTCTACTTTGTCCTATAAGGTTGCCATGAGGTGGATTAGACTGGACCTCAGTGGATGAGAACTTGTTATAACATCACAGAACTTGATCTAATTTGAGGCACTAAGAATGATAAGATGTCAGTTTTAAAATAGCTCCTATAAAAGCAACATGAATTCTGCTAAAAGTAAAGCCATAACAAATATCCAATTTATTGTAAAGCTTGGGAGGAAGAATGTTGAATTCATTGATGCTTTATAGAAACCTTTATGAGGACAATGCTCCAAAGAAATTAGAAACTAACAAATGGGTACCTCATTTTAAAAAGGAATGAAATGATGTTGAAGATATCCTGCAGTGCCAAAACATTCACATCAATTTGCAAGGAAACAATTAATCTTGTGCCCTAATTGATTAACAAGTAGTTAACACCTTAGACATTTCAACTAGTTCAGTTTACACCACTCTGATTGAAAATTAAAGATGAGCACACTTTCTGCTCACAGGATGTCAGAACTGTTGCTCCCAGATCAGTTGCAAAGAACAGATGTTTCAATGGAAATTTTAAACAAGTAGGACTAATATCCTGAAGTATTTCTTAGAAGATATTAATAGGAAATGAAATACAACTTTACCAATATAATCCTGAAACTAAGTACAATCAAAGCAATGGCTACCAAGAGATGAAGTATGCCTGCGAAAGTGCAGGGAGATTGGTCAAGAGTAAAGGTATTGGCAACAGTTCATTATGATGCTCAGGGTCCTTTGTGTGCTGACTTTCTGACAGGCCAAAGAATGAAAGCACAAGCTGACTATGAGAGTGTTGTGGGAAAGTTATCCAAAGCTTTAGCAGTAAAATACCCAGGAAAGCTTTCCCAAAGCCCTTCACCACAACAGTGCTCCAGCACATTCATCTTTCTCATCAAGAAAGGACAATTTTGTAACTGTTTTGATGTGATATCATTAGGCATCCAATTTATAGTCTTAATTTGACTCCTCCCTAATTCATTTTCACCCTAATCTGAAAAATAATAAGATCTTTAAGATCAGCCTTTTTAAAAAATTCAGTTCATAATGTGGAAAAGCCTGGACTGACATGGTTCAATTTCCAGGACACTCAGTTCTTTCAGAATTGGTTAAATGGCTGGTAACATTGATTTTAAGAGTATCTTGACTTTGATGGAGGTTGTGTTAAGATAAAGTTAATATTTAAAATTTTTATCTTTAAATTCTATTTTCCCATAAACTTCTTGAAGTTTCTTCATATCTATCTGTTCAGATAAAAGTATAATAATTCCCACTCTGTCTGGAATCATGAAGAATAGAGTAAATTCTAGACCATCTGAGTTGGCATAGCTCTGTAGATTGTATGTATAATCAATCTCTTTTGAAGAAACAAGGAACACTCAATACAGAATGAGAGTGACCCCCATGTATTCTCTCTTAATGCTTGCAACTTTTAATGACAGCATAGCACCCCTGTGCACCTGCTACACTGAACAATGTTAGTGATGCTGTGGCAACGACAGGATCAGACAAAGAGCTCTATACTAAATGTGTCACATCCCTTCAGATAGCTTGTCTCGACACCATACTTTCCTCATGGCGTTGTTCATATCTTTGTTTCTCAGAGTGTAGATGAAAGGGTTAAACATGGGAGCAATCATAGTGTAAAACAGGGCAAACACCTTGCTGTCACTGACAGAATCAGTTGTGGGGACATAGGTGAAGATGAGGGGCAAGAAGAACATGAACACCACAGTGATGTGAGAGCCACAGGTAGAGAGCGCTTTGTGTCGGCTCTTGGAGGAGATGGTCCTCAGAATGGACAGGATGATTATGTAAGAAATAATTAAGGAAACAAAGGTCAAAATGGATGACACACCGGTGGTAGTAATGATTATTATCACTAACAGCTTCGTATCAGTGCAAGCCAGCTTCAGCAGTGGGAATATATCACAGAAATAGTGGTCTATCTCATTGGGACCACAGAAAGGAAGTCTGACAATAATCAACACTTGCATGATGGAATGGATAAATGCTCCGGCACTAGAGGCTATCACCAGAATGTAGCACACCTTTCTGCTCATGATGACCATGTAGTGAAGGGGTCTGCAAATGGCTGCATAGCGATCATAGGCCATGGCAACCAAAATGAAGATCTCAGTGGCACCAAAGAAGTGGGCATAAAACATCTGGGCTATGCAGTTGTTGTAGGAGATGGTCTTTCGCTGGGCCAGTAAGTCTGTGATGAGTTTGGGGGCCACTGTAGAGGTGAAACACACATCCATGAAAGACAGATAGCTTAGGAAAAAGTACATGGGCTGCTCACTCAGGTGGCTGCCTTTGATGGTAATCAGAATGAGCAGGTTTCCGGAGAGAATGGCAAGATAGCAAAGTGAGAAAAGCACAAAGCAGGCGGCCTTTGCATCCTCATCACTGAACAGTCCCAAGAGGATAAATTCTGTGATGTTTTCATGTCCCATAGTTTCTGTAGGGTGGATAATTTAGAGGAACAGGTTAAAATACCTAAATACTAATATTCTATAATTATTCATTTTATGTTAAGGTCATTAGTTGTATATATATTTTTAACTATGATTAACAATGAACAAAAATAAATAATTTCTGCTTACATGTAGAGTATGGTTCATTATAACAGACAAATAACATTAATGGTACAAATAAGAAATAAACTACAGTTGTGATAAATTCCAAAGTTGCATACCTATGACAGCAAGAAGAACACTTAAAAGATGAAACATTTCTTTTCAGCTGAATATTGAGATGGAAGTTCAGTGTTAAACTTTAATAATGACTTAACAGAGGCATACAGAAAATAGCAATGAGGTTATATACGCTCTTCAAAGGCAGCAAGTACACTATGATTTCTCAGTCCTTCACAAGGACTCTCGTTGTTAAGTGCCCTCACATTGTTTCCAACTTGTTGCAACCCTGTATAGGGTTTCTGGAGAATGAATGGTGGATTTGAATCACCACCTTGTAGTTCATATGCTTATCCTAAAGCAATACAACAATGCTTATCCTAAAGCAATACAACACAATCCTCACAAGGACAAGCAGTGCATTTAAGTCACTAGATTTCATTCAGAGAAGATTCAACCTCTGAGTGTCAATTCCAGACTGTGAATTCAGAAATATTTCATGAACCTCAAAATCAAGAAATAAAATAATGCAGAGTAGAAAAGAAAGAACAGCAAACTGGACTTTGGGTGGAAATGATTTCCCTTTTTCATGGACTTCAAGACAGTGAAGGATTCCTAGTATTTATCTCATTTCTCAGTTGGCTTTCTCATCTAAACCAAGTCCTCATCACTTTCATCCCTTACTCACATGTTCTAGTGCTTCTTTCATGGAGCAAATTGCATCCTGATATACTGCGTCACTTGATCTGTTTCACCATTTTATATTTCTAGAATCACTTTCTTTTCTTTTTAAGCTCAGAATATAATCTAGTAGCATAGTGGTTATGAGTTGGTTGTTAACCATAAGGTCAGCACTTCAAAACTGCCAGCTGTGCCATGAAAGAGACAGCCTCAGAAACACTATACGGGCCACTATGAGTCGGAAATGACTCCATGTCACATAATCACCACCACCACCACATACTCATGAAGCCAAGCCTTCAATTGTTCTTGTCTGAAAGAAAATACTTCATGGAAGCAAAATATTACACTACATTTCTTGCTTCTTTTCACCTGTAACCTGATCTAGAATGTGTCCAAAAATCACTAAATTTGAGGTTCAATTTTCAAAAAAAAAAAAAAAGACTGTACACATTGATTCAAACTTATCAACATGCCTTTAAAGGGAAAGGATGGCAGCTGAAGATTGTGTTTTCTCTTTCATGTGATGATGGTACGCAGCTACCTCTCCCAACTGCTTTGAAAAGGATCACATTAGAGGGTCCTGAAGAGTGTTGCAAAGTATGTGGAACAAAATTCAAAACTATCCAAAAAAACCATACAAAAAATACCAGGTTTACTGGTCAGAAGGAGACTGGAGGAGCCTGAGACTATGGCCCTGAATCACCCTTGGGTTCAACTGTCAGCCAAGCAGGTAGATATAGGGAACATGGAGGAGATTGTAATTATTGAAATGAAAGAGTGTGCTCTTTGTTGAATGTAAAACTGATGATCTTGCCTGTAAACCTTCCCTCAATACACAATGAAAAGTTTGTTCTTTTTTTAAAAAATACATTTAGCACACATAGAGAAGCTCAGTATGATTTCAGGGAGTTCATAGTCTTTTTATTGGATCTCCATCTCTGGACTCCAAGTTTATACCCTGTGATCTAATTTCTAGCAAAGTTTTTGGAAGTGTCACTGTCACAAAAACAAAAGTCCAACTTCAGTGGTCCTGAGCAGCAGTGAAATTGATTTATTAATAAAATGTTATTATTATACCTGTGAGTTACATGTTCTGACATAGAATACTACCCTTGACTGAGAGCCCTGGTTTGGCACTGTAGGATAAGCACTGAACTGATCACTGTTAGGTTGGCAGTTCAAACCCACTAGCCACTGCTTAGAAACCTATAAAGCTGGCTATAAGTTGGAACTGACTTTATGTCAATTAACAATCACAACCCTTTAATATAGAATTTTTCTAAAATACACTTAAAAAATAAATTTTACTGTTTCTAGGTGCTATCAGTTGTTACCGACTCATGCGTCCCTATGCACAACAGAATGAAACACTGCCCGATCCTGGGCCAACCTCACAATTGTTGCAACGCTTGAGCCCATTGATGCTGCCACTTTGCCAATCCATCTCAATGGGGGTCTTTCTCTTTTTCTCTGACCCTCCATGTTACCAAATATGATATCCCTCTCCAGCGACTGGTCCTTCCTGACAATATATCCAATTTATGAGAGAAGAAGTTTGATCATCCTAACCCCCAAAGGGCACTCTGGCTATACTTCTTCCAATACAGATCTGTTTGTTCTTTGGCAGCCCATGGTACTTTTAATATTCTCCTCCAACACCATAACTCAAAAGCATCAATTCTTCTATGATTTCCTTATTCACAGTCGAAATTTTTCATGCCTATGAGGTTATTGAAAATACCATGGCTTGGGTCAGGTGCACCTTAGTCCTCAAGCTGACATCTTTGCTTTTCAACAGTTTATAAAGGTTGTGTACAGAAGATTTGCTTAATGCAATATGACATTTGATTTCTTGACTGCTGCTTTTGTGAGTGTTGATGGTTGATGCAAGAAGAATAAAAATAAATATAATTATGTTAATGGTTGTTGTTAAGTGCCTTTGAGTCAGTTCTGATTCACAGCAATGCTGTACAGGGGTTCCAAGAGGTAGCTGGTGTGTTTGAGCTGTAGATCTTGTGGGTAGCAGTACAGTGCTTATACTACTGTGCCATATCAGGATTCCTGTGTTAATGGTTGTTGTTGTTAGGTGCCGTTGAGTGGGTACAGACCCATAGCAACACTATGCACAGCAGAATGAAACACTGCCTGATACTGGGCCAACCTCCCTATTATTACCACACTTGAGTCCATCGATGCTGCCACTTAGCCAATCAATCTCATTGGGGATCTTCCTCTTTTTCTCTGACCCTCCAATTTACCAAACATGATATTGTTCTCCAGCGACTGGTCCCTCCTGACAATATGTCCAAAGTATGAGAGACAAAATTTAGCCATCTAGGCCTCTAAGGAGCACTCTGGCTGCACTTATTCCAAAACTGATCTATTGGTTCTTTTGGAAGCCCATGGCACTTTCAATATTCTCCTTCAACACCATAACTCAAATGCATCAATTCTTCTACCATCTTCCTTATTCACTGTCCAGCTTTCACATGCATATGAAATTATTGAAAACACCATGGCTTGGGTCAGGTGCACCTTAGTCCTCAAGCTGATATCTTTGCTCTTCAATACTTTAAAAAGGGCTTGTGCAGCAGATTTGCTTAATTCAATACGTCGTTTGATCTCTTGACTGCTGCTTCCATGAGTGTTGACAGTGGATATAAGAAGAATGAAGTCCTTGACAATTTCAATCTTTTTTCCATTGATAAGAATGTTGTTTATTGGTCCAGTGGTGAGGATTTTTGTTTTCTTGACATTGAGATGTAATCCATACCGAAGGCTTTGCTCTTTGATCTTCATCAGTAAATGTTTTAAGTACTCTTCATTTTCAGCAAGTAAGGTTGTATCATCTGCATATCGCAGGTTGTTAATGAGTCTTCCTCCAATCCTGATGCCACATTTTTTTTTTTTTTTTCATAGAACCCAGCTTCTTATGTGCTCAGCATACAGGTTGAAAAATATGGTGAAAGAATACAGCCTTGTTGCACACCTTTCTTAATTTTAAACCATTCAATGTTCCCATGTTCTGTTCAAACAACTATCTCTTGGTCCAGGTACAGATTCCTCATGAGCACAATTAAGTGTTCTGGAATACTCATACTTCGCAATGTTGTCCATAGCTTGTCATGACCCACACAATCGAAAGCCTTTGCGAAGTCAATAAAGCACAGGCAAACATCTTTCTGATATTCTCTGCTTTCAGCCAAGATCTATCAGACATCAGCAATGATATCCCTCATTCCATGGCCTCTTCTGAATCTGGCTTGAACCTCTGGAAGTTCTCTGTCAACGTATGATTGTAGTCGTTTCTGTATTACCTTTAGCAAGACTTTACTTGCATGAGATATCAAAGAGATTGTCTGATGATTTCTGCATTCCATTGGGTCACCTCTCTTTGGAATGGACACAAATATGTTAATGGATAGAAATGGTAAATATAGAAAAGGTGCTAGTCTCCTCAAATTAATCAATATATTCAAATCTATAAAATGTGAAAAACAGATTCTCAAATTAAAAAAACCCTCAAACGTCCAGTGTACTTAAGTTAATGTTTTTTTTTAAAATAAAAAAGAATGGCATGCCTTTTCTAATATTAAAATATGTTATAAAGCTATGACAAGTAAAGTAGTATTGAAATAGACAAATAGATTGATGAAGTTAGACAATCAATAAACACAAACGTAAATATATGCATTAAAAGGTAGTCTATATTTTTAAGTTGCTATTTCAATATGTATAATGACTTTGGTAGTAACTGATATTAGGAATTTTAATCTCCAGCTGAAAGCAAACAACAAACTACTTCATTATTCAAAAATACAAATGTTCCAGGAAAGATACAAATATACCAAACCAAACTAAAAAAAATAATAGAAATATAACTATTTTATGGCAGCACACATAAAGAAAAATTACAATATGTTAAAACTTTTCTATGACAATATTTCATATGAATAAAATGTTCTAAAAAGTGACAGAATGTTATTAAATATTTATAACTGCTTCTCATCAATAATACAAATATGCTGTTGGTAAGTTCAGACAAGTTGGTTCCCACTCAGATTGATTTTATATAAGGTTTCTGAGGCTTTGTATCTTTGCAGGTGCAGAAAGCTTCATCTTTCTTTTCATGAGGC